CATGATTTACAGTACACCTACGATCACGTTTTTTGTTTGTCATAAGATTTACTTTGTGTTGTTTTCCTGTACACAATTTGATATTTTGGTCAATATTTGAGATGCTTTGTCGTTTTTGTAACAAAAGACAACAATTTTTATTATGATTAAACGTTATTGTAGACGGATGGTTGATTTCAGTAACGAAGTATAGTGGGTTTTTACTAAAAAAATAGTTGAGGGGATTTTTCATGATCCGAGGATAGTTGAGGGGATTTTTTATTAAAAACCAAAACACAAAGGGATAAGAGAAATTAGAATTTGGATGAAGGAGAAGCTTACAGCTTTTCAAGGCGAGACCAGTTGCCAATATATCCTGGGATGGTTCCAGTAAAGTTATTGTCACATATCCTTCTGCATAATGGAAACAAACAACTAGTTGAGAGCTTAGTAAAACTTAGCTTCTTGGACTAGTTTATAGGTTCTGCTAGCCTGTCTATCCACACATTAATGTAAGCATATCATAACTTTCAAATCAATCTATAGTACGAAGAAACAAAGTTTAACGCAAAAGCTTTACATCAACCGGTTACAGCTAAATCTAGGAGCCAGTGAAACAACCTCTTGTGCAAAGTTTTTCCCTCTGGAGAACTTCACAAATTTACTCATCTTCAAGTCTAATTAAAGGAGAACAATTTCCACTGCTAAGTGTTAAGTAGAGCAACAACTTACACTCTTTCAAGGTTTACGAGTCTAGAGAGAGTGGTAGGAAGGATTCCTGTAAATTGATTGGACGCAAGTTCCCTGCAAAACCGCAAAACTCAGTTCCAGAAAAGATCAAAACTGTACTTTTTTCCCCATAAAGCCAAAAGATCTTTGAGGTTTTGAAAAAATGGCCTTACAATCCTATTAGGCTAGTCAAGCTACCAAGCCCATCAGGAATCGTACCAGAGAAACGGTTGGCTTCGAGCCCTCTGAAAATTTCATCACATTACTGTAAATATTACATATAATAATAAAAAAAGGCACGTAGATCCTTAGAGATGGCGAAAACAAGAATTTGAGACGTACAGGAATGTCAGATTCTTAAATTTTTGTAACCCAATTGGTAATTTCCCAGACAAATTATTCGCACAAAGAGAACTGCAGAGAAATTCAGAGTTAGTCGGTAATCACTAAGATGGAAGTATCGGAGAAAGAGGGAGAGAGAGAGGGCTAACATGTAAGTGAGGTTTGGCAGTGAAGCCCACTCCGTTGGGATTGTGCCCGAGAGATAGTTCCTGCACAAATCACTGCAAAGAAGAGAGAAAACTCGCTTGAAACTTTTCTCATGGTTGGGGATTCTCTTGCTACAAAGGTTTTTGATGATTTCTATATATACACTACTGTATTGAGACCATGGCCATTGAGAGGTTGCTCTCAGGTTTTAGTAAATCTTTGAAGCTCCTCGAGAGGTGAATAAACCGGAGCCGGAGTTCAAATTCAGATTTATTCGGTAAGTCGATTTCGAAACCATACCAAAAGAAAACCATAACAATGTCCTTCAATGGTTTTCTTGTTTAATGAAATACAATTTGGGTTGGCAA